ATGTACATGAAATAATAGGGTAAGAACACATACTATTTTCAGACAAAATTTAGTAAGCAGCGTGTAATTATAATTAAAATTGTCATCAAAATTACAATGGCCTGACATAATAAAGAATGCCTATAGTTCAAAATGCATTACAATACTTTTAAGATGCTGACTCATATTTAAGAATTAAAACTGCCCATGGCCTAATGAATAATATAAATTAAGCTCACAGATCTCCTGCCTCATTTCTCTTTCAAAAGGTAAAATCAGGTGTGCATGTTTCAGTAGAACTCAAAATCTAACCCATAGCTTTTAAGAGTTCTCTTGATGGACCCTGATTGTGACAATTCAATTTTAACTAAATCTGATTGTCCTGTACAGTGGTTGAGATTTGTTCCAAAGGAGAGCTTTGAAAATGAAGGTGTGGAAATGTAACACCTGTCTGTAACTCTTTAAAGCAGATAAGTGGCAGCCACAGCTGTACGATCCCAGAAAAGATGTGGCTACATTAAAGAGATACAAACAGATGTTACATTTGCAGTCTTCCACTGAAACTCCTGGAGTTGAATCAGAAGTACTACACAGACCAATTTTTTTGCTTAGAGTTTTTGCTCATGCAGGCAGCATCTTTAATTACAACAAATTTGCTTAGATACTTTATCTAGATCATCTTTACATCTATTTATTTTTCTGAACTTCAGCTACCTCTATTTGTGACCTCAATAATTGACAAACTGTCAACTAGGAGTAGTTTGGAAAATGGATTTACATACACTGCATAATTTGGATAATGTTTCAGTACTCTTCAATTAACTTTCAAGCTTGCCTTTATCATTGAAGCTATATATTCTTTTAGATAATATCTTTTTATATATAAAACATGAATTTTGGGGTTTGGGCCACGATGAGAAAAACTTTCTATGTTCGTTTTGATAAAATGAAACATCTCTCCAACTCTTAGAGGAAGATATAAAGAAACCATCTCTCCAGGGTCCAGTGTTTCTCTTTTTCTCTTGAGTCTGGGTCACTCTAATGTACAATTAAAAAAATAAAGAACCTGTGATATGGTCTCACTGCTACCGCAAGCAAGATAGCTGTTTCAAAGTTCTTATCTATTCCACCAATTTAGATATCATTCTAGAGCTGGAAAAGTCTGATTTAGTATCACATAGATTAGTTACATTTTGGGGGGGTTGGTTTAAAGCACCAAGGGACTCCTGGCACTGTTGAATTGAAGCAACATCCTTTATTTTCGCATTCCTGGGGAGTGATCCCAGGAGGTCCACAGTTGGATCGTTTGTGGGGATCAACATCACATCGGCATTTTGCTGTTAAAAGACAAAACTCATGGTTATCCCATGTTACCAATATATGGCAAATGATTTTTTTTTAGCTATTACCATGGAAGCCAGCATCGTGTGTATCTGTGATATTGTCTCACTGCTACCGCCAGCAAGATAGCTGTTTCAAAGTTCTTATCTATTCCACCAATTGGGATATCATTTAAGAGCTGGAAAAGTCTGATTTAGTATCACATAAATCAATTACATTTTGGAGGGGTTGGTTTAAAGCACCAAGGGACTCCTGGCACTGTTGAACTGAAGCAACATCCTTTATTTTCGCATTCCTGGGGAGTGATCCCGGGAGGTCCACAGTTGGATCGTTTGTGGGGATCAACATCACATCGGCATTTTGCTGTCAAAAGACAAAACTCATGGTTATCCCATGTTACCAATGTATGGCAAATGATTTTTTTTAGCTATCACCATGGAAGCCAGCATCATGTGTATTGCAAAAAGAATGTTGGAATACTATTTTTATAAAAATGCAGAACTTCAGAAATGCAGAAAAAGTATCTCCCCACTTAAACTTTTGACAAGTGAGTGAATATGCTGCCCTACTGCCCACAATTCCCACTTTTAAACATTGCTGTGAAAGATTAATATAATAATTGGCTACTTCATGGTTAGTTTCTTTTAAAAGACACCTTGTAAAGAGCACATTGTTCCAGTCTATTAGCAAAATCAATCCAAACCAAGGGATCTTGTTACTCAGCTAATTCCTTGTTGCTGAAATAGTTCAATAGTTGGGTGCTATTTTGAATGTTTTGCCATTGACATACTTATCCAAAGATGAAAATTTTAAGAAAATCCGTGTTTCCGCTTAAGCTTCAACTTTCTGGATTCAGTCATGCTGGAAAGCTCTTAAGCCTGCAATATTATACCAAACCACATAGCTGTTAACTTTTAATGCAGCTCTCCTAACCTACAGTCATCTGCATGTGCTGAGCTTTCATGCTGTTCAACCAGCATGGTCTTTCAGACCAACCTGTGAGACCAAACCTATGAGTCCAAATTTTATAAATTTAATAAATAAATAAATAAATAAATAAATAGTAGAAGATGTTGGATTATAAGAAGTTCTCTGTGGAGGAAGCAACAACTCAAAGGATCAAGTGCTGGAATCTCTCTGCATCAGCACAAGAGAGAGATGTTGGGGTTCCTTTGTGATTTTTCCCTAATCCTCTGTTGTATAATTCCTGTAGAGAAATAATAACGAGATACAATTGTCATTGTTCATGGGACTTTAGATTTCACTAAGAAGCTATTATCTATTTCCATGTGTCTACAATTCACATTCCCAGCACTATATTTTTCTTTATCTGCTTGTAATGCTAGAATTAAATAAACGTGTCTTTGCTCTTTAGCTGGAAAATTTAGTTTTCTTCTATATAGCTGTTGCCCAAAGAGCAGAGAAGCAAGACGTGGAATAATGATTGTAACAATAAGAGCAATTTTACACTGGAATAATGTTATCACCTGCAGAAACGATAAGCTCCTTTTCACTGGATATGTTCAATGACAGGCTAGAGACTCATCAATTGGGGATGCTTTAATATGAAGTCCTGGACTAAGAAAGCTGGACAGCCCTTTGTAACTTATGTTTTAAAATGTTATACTGTAAAGCATGGGTGCATAGTTTAATCCTTAATTCAGCGGTCCCCAACCTTTCTGGCTTCACAGACCAGCAACCTAGCTCCTCTGCCTGCACCAATGAAGCTTCACACACTCGCCTGCCTCTTGCTCAGCCTGGTTCCCAACTGACCGCGGAGTGGCAGTGGTCCGCAGCCCAGGGGTCGGGGACTCCTGCCTAACTGACGAATGGCTGTCAAACCAGTAAAGCTTAGCAATAGCAGAAATAAGATTATCTAGAAGATTCAACGTATCGGCAATGAGATAAAACTGTCCAAATATTAGGTGAGTTAAATATCATATTTAGTGTCTTCCATGTACTTAAACATTGCAGCAAAATGCTAGTTTAAAGTAAAGTACTTACGTGGAGCTGTTACCCCTTCGAGCAGTACGCTGCAACCTAGAATTAAAATAACTAGACATAACCAGATCCTTTTCTGATTCTTCATAGCACACAACTCTTGGAAAGTAGAGATTTGGATCAAAGAGAGTATTATGTGGCATAAGTGGAGCTTATTTTATATCACAATGTTTGTATACTTCATTCAGATAACAAATTACCTGTTAAGCTCCACCTTAAGTAATTCAAAACTGTTATTTAGATTTTTATTAGATGTGTGGTGGAGGTATCCGGATAATATTTGCAAGGGAAAAATAATAAATGTAAGTCAGGTGTTTATAAAAACCAAGATGGGCCATTAGCCAACTGTCAAATATTGAACAGTTTCAGGTGAAACAAATTTTAGCAAACTAAGAAAGCATGCCTTTTAAAAAAAAAAACCAAAACCCTCTGCTTCATACCAACACAAATTTACTAAAAAAGGCTTTTGCTCCCTCACTCTACTCTGTTCTTTCTGGTACTTTCTGCTGGCTAGTACAAACTCCCCCCCCCCATTCTTAGCAATATGGAAATTAACGTCTCAGGTAGGTATGTAGATTGAGTAACACCCCATTTTGCATTTAATCAAAATGCATTTTCCTTCTCAAATGCACTCACAGAATATAGGAAACATTTCTTCAAAAGTTAATTTAAATCTAAGAGGAAAGAGGGAAAATATATACCCTTAAACACTAATCCCAATGTCAGAACCAATTAAAATTCAATTAAATAAAAGCAACAAAAGCCATGGGAAAAGTCCAGTTTCTTTAAGTCTAGATAACACAAAGAATTGGGAGATGACAAGTCTCAGATGGTATGAAGTTCCCAAGAAGACTTGCTTTTATTTTTATACTAATCTGGAAGAAAACCAGTTTTGCTAATTTTAAAAGCAAAGCATTCTGAAGTGGGTGACCTTTACAATACTTAGAATTCAAGCTAATTTCAGGTAGTCCTCATTTAGTGACCATAATTGGGACCAGCAACTCAGTTGTTAAACAAAATGGTTGTTAAGTGAAAACATGACTTAATTCAGCTTTCTTTTGCTTTAGAAATTTGGAAGTATCATAAGTGTGAGGATTGGTCACAAAGTTACTTTTTTATCACTGTCATAACTGCAAACAGTCACTGTATGAAGCTAAATGAGGGATACCTTTATTGCTTTAAAGCAGGGGTCCCCAACCCCCGCTCCGTGGACCGGTACCAGTCCGTGGCATGCCAGAAACCGGGCGGGGCAGACAAGCAAAGCTCTATCCACGGGATTCAGGCAGTACATGAAACCACGCCCCCTCCTGTCCACGAAGAAACCTCTCTCCATGGAACCGGTCCCTGGTGCCCAAAAGTTTGGGGGCCTCTGCTTTAATTTCACCTAGGATTGGAAAGGTCATGCAAATATAGCCATTTGGTTTATTGTATTTTTATGTGAAACTTGCTATTTTCAGAAATATTAGAACAATAATATATAGAGATCACAAAACCATTTGGTTAATGTGCATGTTATAAGTTTCACGCTACTCATATCCTGCTTTTCTTTTAGGAAGTATATTCTACTGAGCTCCATGCCTAAGAATTGCTGAAATTTTGCTAAACCCCTACTCCAAAAACAGCCCAGCAAAAATTCCTATTTGTAGTTTTAAAACAAATAATGGATTATTATTATTATTATTATTATTATTATTATTATTATTATTATTATTATTATTATTATTATTATTATTATTATTATCTGGGGCATCTTTAATGGTGAGAGAGGAATTATCAGCCGTATGTATCAATGTGGCAGTATTTTTGACACCCTTTGTTTTCAAATTATACCTTCTGTGCAATGTAGATTCTTAGTTTTGGTGAGTAGCTGCCCGAAAAACCTAATTACTTATTTAAGACATTTATGTGTATGTGTGGTTTTCCTTTCTTTTTCTTTTCTTTTCTTTTCTTTTTTTTGAGAAAAGCAAAAGTCAATGCAAGTAATTTCAAAACCTCAGCATGCTAAAGAGTGCATTTACTGTATAATAACTGTTCTTCTGTCTTGGTTGTGTAATGCACACTGCATTACTTTGGATTCCTGTTGGTTTTGCTATTCTAGAGACTGCTGCTGCTTGCACGCTGTGATATTTGCACTGTTGTAGATACATGTAAGCATTGTCTTTTTTCCAGGTGGCTTGTTTATCTTTTATAGTTCTGATGATAATAACTAACTGAACTATGAGTACTTTGATTCATGTATTAGAAGATTTAGGATGTTAGGCATTCTAATTCTGTATTTTGCATAAACTAAAAAAATGCTTTGTATATTTCTGTATAGTTGATTTCCTGTAGAATATTTGTATGTGCATTATTTTCCAGGTTAGAGCTCATTTTCTGAAAATGGAGAATCCTTATGATAATGCAACAAAGGAATAATTAAATAAAAGAATTGATATTTTCAAACTGCTGTCTTTGTCCTGTTTCAGTGAGCCTTCAGTTTACAGCTTTTGAAAGCTTTCCTTTCCGTATTACATAAGGATCCCTTTTAAAAATTTCTTTTACCTCTTCTTTGTCTTTCTCTCTGTGCTTCCCATTTTTGCCTCTTATTGTTCTTCCTTTTTTGCTCTCCTTAGAATTCATGAGGCATAAGCCAATGAAAACAAATTATGAGTTCTAAACAGTGGTGGGATTCAGATATGTGAACAACCGGTTCTCTGCGTGGATGCCAGTTCCGGAAGTCCATTCTGGGCCTGGGCAACAAAAAAATTAGCTACCGGTTCTGCCGAACTGGTGCGAACTGGCTGAATCCCACCACTGGTTCTAAACAGGAAGAAGGATCATAATTACATGATCCGATAAATGTAAGTTGGCCAGTAGGCAAAAAGCAGTTTTCTCTTTATGCTGTTTTTCAGAATATAGCCAAAGATTGTACACTAGAGGGTGCTGCATTCTTCAATAAACAATGAAATTAAGTCTTGCTTAAATTTTCCTCATAACGTTTCTCTATAGAGTATTCTGCTCCCATATTTGGTATTTTCAGGGGAGAAAAGAGGTTAAAACTGTAGACTTTTTATTTTTTAAAAAATATTTTTTTTAAAAAATAAAATACATAAAAATGTATACATTTTTATTTATATTACACTGTGTTTACTTCCAGGAAGCTTTTTAAATGAAAATATTGTAGCTAAAGTGAAGATGGAGTTCAGAGGAAAGAGAATTGAGATGCCTGATGTTTTACTCCCCATGACTATTTCTCTTTATCAACATTCCCTTTATCTGGCCACCACTACACCTTAAAACATTGGGAACATGGAACAGGCTTCTGCTACAAAACCCTCAAAAAGGTTTTCATAGATCCTCCTAGTGTTTCTGATACGGCAGAGGGTAGAACTTGAGTAAAGCTTTCCCTTGTGTAGAGTTCAGTTTCTGATGATTACATAGGCTAGCATGGCGTTTGTTCCAAGTTGCGATGATAGCAAATGTGTCAGTACATCCTAGCTCAAAGGATACAACTTTGTACCCAAGTCACCTCTGTGCTATCATTTGCCCACCCCATCCCATACCGATACTTCATTTTATGAAGAAACCATATATTACTTG